TGATGGATTGTGTGTAGCCTGCAAACACTCACTCAAAGCCACAGCAATACACCTCCTCTTAGCTACGCAGAGCACCTTAAGGCAAACGGTTTCATGGGTGCCTGGCTAACTGTGAGCCCAGCACTGAGGGAGGAGGGCAGAGAACATCTCTTGTAGTCGTGGCAGCTGTGTGTCACAACTCCTTCAACTGTATCTTGTCACCTTGGGAAAAGCGTGTTTGACTTGCCACAGCCCCAAGTCAGGGTGAATCTCTACCCACAACAAAAATACCCACTAGGGAAAGCTGAAGCCTGAGGTCTCTCTCTGTTCTTGTTTGTACAGGTGACATGATGCAGCCACAGAAGAAGAGGAAGTGATTACAAACCATTTTCCAAGAACCAAGAAGGAAGAAAACACAAGAGATTTTTCTCATGCTTTTTTTTTTTTTTTTTTTTTCCTGGTGGGGAGAGGTGGTGGAGCAACATAGGAAGGTAGGAGTGGCAGGGAGTGATAATTAAATGTAATACGAGGGTCGTGAAGGTAGCTTAACTTGAGAACTCTTGGTTTTATGAAAAGTTGACTACACATGCCAAAAACAACTCCTGCCGTCTCAGAATAAATTACCTTTGTCTGACTTTCATGGAGGATGGTCTCTGGTTAAAATCTGGGCAAAGGCTGAAAAAACCCACATAAACTTGGTGTTAGAGAACATCCAGAGAGAGAAAAAGAGGAACTTAGAGTCATTTAAACCCTTCAGTTTACAGAGGAGGATGCTGAGGATGTAGATGAGAAGTTACCTGTAGAAGGCAAAAGGGTTACTTAGCGCCAGAACCAGGACAACGACTTCTGTCTCCCAGGTCTCCTAGATACCAGTCCTGGGCCTTTTTTTTTTTTTTTTTTATAATCCCAACTTTTCTTTAAAAAACAGGCATTTCAGTAAGCTGATTATTTTCATGGATTGCTCATCTATTTTTTTTCAATAATCTAAAAATGAAGGGAGGTGGCTGGTACTGAAGCTGTCTGTCTGCTTGAGATAATAGCAAATTTATTGGAGGCAATGAAAAAGTAAGTCATAAAAAATACTGGGAAATGTGTTTCTCTTCTGAGCAAGTGTTCAGGGCAGGTATAAACATCCAACATAGTGACGTTGTCAAAACCTCTTCCATTTGAACATTGATTAATTCATCAAGCAAATGGTATATTAGTACATTCTACTTGCAGAAGAATCTGGATGGGAAGTGATATAATTAGGAGGGCTGTTGAGACTGCTTTGCTACAAAGCACTTTTCTGAATTAGTGTGTGGTTTAACAAAGCTGATTTTCAGATGCTTAACAAGGATTCATAATCCCTGCTGCGATTCTCCTAGTGGTATGTTCCTGGCTTTTATTTGTGGGTACATTTTTGAAAGAACACAAATGGCAAATGTCTATTGGTAGGTAAACATAGTTGAGTCTACTTGTATGTCACCAGGTCATATGGGTTGGGGTGTGGACATGAAAGTAAACTGTACTTGGACTTCCTAACCTAACATTACATAGGAGAAATGTAGTGAAAAGGAGCAAGAGTGGTCTTGAAGGGTTACAGAAGGGAGGAAGGCGACCGAAGGGGAGACCAGGACAGGTACCAAGAAACCTGCTTAATCTCCACTCCTTTTTCTACTGCTCTGTTAATATGAGCCTCAAGTCTTTTCCGTATGGACCTGGGACTACCACCTCTGTCCCCACACCTACTGCTGCCTTTTCACTGCTACAAGCGCCTGGTCTCAGCTGGAGGCCAGAAGCAGTTGCCACAGTGGAAATTCCCCAAATGTGAAGCCCTCAGGGGATCACCCAAATTTTCCACCCCCCAAAGGTGACTCGGGCTGTATAACTCTCAGTCCTAGTAAGCTCTTGGTGGGGATGAGCCTGCAGGTTTCTATTTGTGGCATTACTGGCCCTAAGACCAAATTAAACCTTGATGGCAGCATGCCTGGCCATCCCGCAATATCTCTCCCAACGCTAGAGCAACAAAACACTAACACACTGATTAAACATTTGTTAAAAGATATATGGTGTTTGCAGATTACATAGCGCTATGGTAGGCCCTTAATAGAAAATGACAACTATAGAAACCACATGATGATACCAGCAATATTTGTATAGTGTCAAGTAATTTATCATCACTCTCACTTATTTTAGCCCACGGAAACTTTGTAAGTAGGAGATGAGTTACGTTCTCATTTTATAAATGAGCAGAGTTTCTGATGGCGGCGTGCTGGGGAATATTTAACAACCCACTCTCTGGGGGAAAAGATGTCAAACTCTGATTGATAATGTCTGCCCATGTCCACCATGTAAATACTCTCCCCCTGGCCTTTGTCAAGTCCTTGAGAGCCTGTGCAAACTGGCTCCAGCACACCTCTGCGTTCAGAGCAGGGAAATGCCAAGTCCAAGGTCACACAGATAGTTGATTCCTGAGCCCACTTTCCTTCCTCTTTTTTATAGAACAAAGCAGTACTGGGTCATCCAAAAACCTTTATTTAAAAAACAAAACAAAAATGTGTCCACATCTTGCAGAGCTGGGCAAAAGAAGGTGGTCAGGAGACCCCAAATTGATGGAAACTATCCCCATGGCAGGAGGAGGAAGGGCACCTCCACCACTACCCCAGGAACTGGCCTATACTCAAGCTTCTGTTCCGGTGTTGCTGTCTCACATTTGAAACCAGTTTTGAATTTGGGTAGAAGACTTGTTGCCTAAACAATTCCTTAACCCCATCCTCTCCCCAGAAGGCTTCTACATTTCTTAAGCTATTTTCAGCTCCTCTGCACCTACTCACTTGCAATACTTGTCATAACAGGAAGCCAGTTTCACATACTGTAATCCCCAAACACATTGCACCCACACGTGGGGAGCGTGAGGGGCTGAGTGAGGAGCGAGGAGGCCAGGCCTTCCGGAAACCGGAGGGGCTGAGCACTGAGCAGGTCCCAAGCTGGGGCGTCTCCCTCCCAAGCCCAGGATCCAGGAACCAGAATCCACATCCAGGCATTCTTATTTTCCTTTCTCAAGCAGTTGCTCATGACTTTTTTTTTAATAAAGCATTTGAGTAGGCAGCAAAGCCAGTCAGAACTGTTTATTTATAGCTGTGGATTTTCAATGCTGTATAAATTAGAAATCGTTGCTGAATGAGGCCCGCGCCCACTCACACACGCAGGGCCGCTATCTGTGAGTCCTTTCACAGGGTTTAACTGTACACAGTCTAAAATGGGAGAAAATGACATGCTCCGAGTCAAATGACGGAGTCACAGCTAAACGGCAAAGCAGAAAACCAGCAATTATTTTTCCTCAGCACAATATGGGGAGTACGACAGGTGCAATTATCCAATATTATTTAACAGTACCGGTTTGTGGTGTAGGGAGAAAATAAAGGTTTCCGTGTCTTGGAGAGGAAAAAAAGAGAAAGAACCTGCCTTGCAGCTCCTGTTTCAGTGGATTAAGCTGGGTTATGTACATGGAAACGGGCCAGGATTCCAGAGGGGAAAGAGGAACCACCTGGCTCCCTGGCCCTTCCTCCCAGGAGGCTCATGAGCAGCAGGACCACAGGGGCTTCTGAGAAAGGGTGCCCCAGCCTCGGGACACTGTGGCCTGAACACGTTCTTCCCCAAGCAGTGGCTCCAGGTAAGGCTTCAGGGAAGGCTGGGTTTGCTGAGCCTCTGTCCACTTAGAGAGAAACCTCCCTCCTGCTTTTGACTCTGTTTCCCTCCTTTGAACTACAATGAGGTAAGGAGCACGTGATGAGAAGATGGTCCACAAGGAATAAATTCCAGTCCCTTAGCCAGCTCCCCCTCCCACATCCAGAACATTTTTTTTTTTTTTTTTTTTGAGACGGAGTTTCTCTCTTGTTACCCAGGCTGGAGTGCAATGGCGCGATCCTGGCTCACTGCAACCTCTGCCTCCTGGGTTCAGGCAATTCTCCTGCCTCAGCCTCCTGCGTAGCTGGGATTACAGGCACGTGCCACCATGCCTAGCTAATTTTTTGTATTTTTAGTAGAGACAGGGTTTCACCATGTTGACCAGGATGGTCTCGATCTCTTGTTCTCGTGATCCACCCGCCTCGGCCTCCCAAAGTGCTGGGATTACAGGCATAAGCCACCACGCCCAGCCCCAGAACATTTTTATTCCTCCTCCCAAGCCTTTGCTTAAACTGTTCACACTCCCTGGAAAGACCCCTCCTCTTCTAGTTACTGTGGAATAAATAAGTCATCCTCCATGGCTTCAGACCTCGCTGGAGTGCCACTTCCCAGCTCTCTGAAAAAGCTTTTCCTTGCCTGTCCAGGGCACTGGGCCTGCTGCCTACTCTTAACTCCACAGCAGCAGTCCACATCCGCTCTGCACACCATGCCATTGCTCTCTCCTTCACCTGTCCCCCTTGGCTTCTGTTTCTGGAATGGTATGGAAAGAATTAAAGTTGTATTCAAAAGTCTTACTGAGGACTACACACCAAGGCCTATAGCTGGGAACAGCCTTTCAGAGAGATCCTGTGAGATTGCTCCAGCCCAAGCCTTCAGCCCACTGCTTATATGGAGGAAGTGGAGGTTCAGCACTGCACAGTCACACCAAACTTGCTCAGAAGTTACATCGCAGCAGAATCCCATCAAGGCTTGGGTGTAAGAATGCATCTGGTTGTAGATTACGGAGGCATAAACACTAACCCTGTTCAAGGTTTCATCTTCAAAGCATCTTTCAAAGGGCTGCACATATTCACAGTTGGGGACTTTTGTGAAATTCAGCTGGCAAGCAGAAGTGAGCAAAAGGGGCCTCTCACATTTGCTCCTTTGTCTCACAACTGGAAAGAACAGCGGCTTCAGAACCAGACTAGATCTGAGTTCAAATTCTGACTCCATGGCTGGCTATCTGTATTGAACCTAGAGAAAATCAGTTACTTTTTAGAAAAAATTATTATTCATTTATTTGTTTAAAAATGTGTAGCAACTTCAGCATGTGAATAAGAGGACACAGTCTATCCAGAAGGAACTTAAGTATGCCATGTAGCCCGCCAAAGGAACACAAAGGAAGTCAGCATCCCTGGTTCCTTTAAGGCCTTAGACATGCCAGATTTTATTCCAAGTTGCTACTGTCCTAACAGGGGCACTAGTCAGCCCCTTGGAGAGGAACTCACCCTGGATGAAAGTAGTTTACTTCTCTGAGCCTTGGTCTCTTGTCTGAAAAGTTAAAGGATGATACCACCACAATTAAATAAGATTATTGCAAGTAGTGGAGGCAAGTGCCTGGCACCCAAGATCTCCATCTGATATAGTTTGGGTGTTGTCTCCTTGAAATCTCATGTTGAATCCTGATCCCCAGTGTTGGAGGTGGGGCCTGATGGGAGGTGTTTGGGTCATGGGAGTGGATTTCTCATGAATGGTTTTATGCCATCTTCTTGGGGCTGGCCTCGCTATAGTGAGTTCTGGCAAGATCTGGTTGTCTAAAAGTGTGTGGAACTCCTCCCCACATCTCTCTTCTTCCATTCTTGCTATGTAATGTGCCTGCTCCCCCTTCACCTTCTCCCATGATTGTAAGCTTCTGAAGCTTCCCAAGAAGCCTAGGAGATGCCAGCACCATTCTTCCTGTAAAGCCTGCAGAACTGTAAGCCAATCAAACCTCTTTTTTTTTTAAATATATAAATTACCCAGCTTCAGGTATTTCTTTATAGCAATGCAAGAACAACCTAATTCACCGTCCCACCTGCTTGATTGAAAACTCCTGGGACTAGGGGCTATGCCCATCTCTTTATATCTCCATCAAAGCCTCTGCACCATTAGAAAGTACTCAAAATACAGAAGGGCTTGAGAATTCCTTCTAGCTTCTTAATCTTACAGGCATCATCACCAGTTATCTTCCACCCTAGGCTTCCCTGGAAGCTGATTTTCTCAGCATTAGAGTCATTGTTTCATTTCAGATACTCTCTCTGTCTTACATACCTCAATCCTATTGACAGTGATGAGCAAATTATAGTTTCATGTGACCTACTAGTGGAATGAATATTGATAGAATAGGACACATAGCAGATACATTTGATGAAAAGAAGAAGATGAGGAATGGCTTGGAGGATAAATGGCTTGCATGCAGGGGAACTCTAGAATGGAGGATTAGATGCCCTGATAACTCAAAGGAGAGCCTATGTGCTACCAGGGTCTGAGTCAGGAAGACTGATCCTTAAACAGGAGGTGGGGGACGTTGAAGACAAACCTTGTTTACATCAGAATTCATTTTACGTTAGGAGCTTCTCACCCCTTCCTGACAGATAGCAAGTGCTTATCATGAAGACCTGGTCTAGTCTGACTGTTACATCATTATCACCATGATGTCATCAGCCTCTTGCATGGTGTAGTTCTTCAGGGGTCATGAAAAGGGCCTCTGTTCTCACTGCCACCCTAAATATCTTGCTAATATACCAAAAAAAAAATAATAACCTTTCACTAATAAAGCCTCCCATTTCATATGGAGAGCCAGATTTAACATATAAATATTGAGAGCAGTGACCTGTGAAACTCATGCATGCTCAATTCTCAGTGAAGGATATTTGATGATTTGAAAGCATGTCTTAATAAAGGGAGGGCGTGCTCGGCAGAGTGAAAATGAGGATATTGTTAGTAAAGAAGCAGGTGCGGAAGGGTCAGCTGTAGACTCCAAGGACCAACCTTGCCTAGTTCATAATTTTTCACCATGTGATTTTCCAAGATATGCAGGTTATGAGTGTTCTGCTCCTCTCCCTGAGAGAGCTACTTGATGGGCAGAGCACCCCCAAATGAAGCTGGTTTTGGCAGCTGATAGGGCAATTAAATTCTGCACGTCCTTGGAGGGGTGGACAGAGGGAACATAGCTGTGATGTGCCACTCTCTTTCCAGTCTTGATTATCTGGCTGGCACTACAGGAATTTAAACTTCCTTTTTTTTTTTTTTTTTTGAGACAGAGTCTTATCCTGTCACCCAGGCTGGAGTGCAATGGTGTGATCTCAGCTCACTGCAACCTCCATCTCCCAGGTTCAAGTGATTCTTCTGCCTCACCCAAGTAGCTGGGATTACAAAAGTGCACACCACCACGCCTAGCTATTTTTTTGTGTCTTTAGTAAGAACAGGGCTTCACCATGTTGGCCAGGCTGGCGGTCTTGAACTCCTAACCTCAAGATCTACCTGCCTTAGCCTCCCAAAGTGCTGGGATTACAGGCACGAGCCACTGCTCCCGGTGTTTTTTGTTTTTTTTTTTTGGCTGGAGTCTCACTCTGTCACCCAAGCTGGAGTGCAGTGGTATGATCATGGCTCACTGCAACCTCTGCCACCCAGGTTCAAGCAATTCTCATGCTTCAGCCTCCCAAGAGACTGGAATTACAGATATGTGCCATGATGCCCAGAAAATTTTTGTATTTTTAGTAGAGACAGGGTTTCACCTTGTTGGCCAGACTGGTCTTGAACTTCAAGCCTCAAGCAATCTGCCCACCTTGGCCTGCCAAAGTGGTGGGATTACAGGCACGAGCCACCACATCTGGCCTGCTTTCTGTCTTGAGAGAGTGGTGTTGGGTTGCCACAATGTTTTTTCCCCATAATTTAAATGTATGTTTGTTGGTAGCATGAATTAATCTTTCTTAGACTCTTAGGTTCTGCATCCTTCAAATTTCAGCGTCATGGTTTTTTTGTTGTTGTTCAAACTACTGTGATTGCTTGTGGGCGTGTGTGTGTGTGTGTGTGTGTCTTTCTGAAGTTCCATGTAGATATTCAATGCCATTTTTTAATTTTCTTGAATTTATATTTGAGAGCTGGTGCCACTGTCATCAGGGTCCTACAATGATTCTGGAAACAAAGACTGGATAACATGGGTGATATAACATGGATGGTTCCATGGGAGAAGCCTCGGGTATTGGCATTTATTGAATTTCCTTCAAAATGCATGAGTATCACAACTTTTACCACCTATGAGCTGTTGCCATGCTTAAGAAGAAAGAAGACAAAGAAAAAATGAGGATTCCTTTGGCTCCTGAAGAACCTCAAATAGTGTTGAGCTCCTCCGAGATCTCTTTTTACCCAGACATCTGTCTTACCAACCAGTCACAGAGATGCTGAAGTGTTGAAGAGAGGCGTATACTTATTAAGGCATGTTTTATGTTTCTTTGAGGGCAAGAGTATGTTCTATTCACCACTGCATCCCCCACGCTGAGCGCAGTGCGTACTATACGGTTGACTTAAAATGCGTATGTGATGCTCAGATGGGTTTAAGTAACATGCTCAGTGTATGACAGCGGCATAGGAATTCAAATCAAGACCCATCTGACCCAAATGGCCGGAACAGTTTCCACTCCACCAACAGTACTCAAACTTTCTTGACTGGTACCCTCAGAAACACATTTTACATCATAACCCAGTAGAAACACAACACACACACTCCTGTGGAAAGTTTCATGAACTCATAGTTGCTCTTACATGGGTGACATGCCCCTTTATTTTCTATGATAATCTTTCCTATTCCATTATTTAAAATATGTCGTAACCATGAAATTGGTTTCTTTATCCAATAATAGTGTTTTTTAAAATAATGAATTTCTGAATTCAATAGTAATAATACGGTTCAACCTAGTTCAGTTCGCTGGCTATCACTCCACTCCACCACACTGTAGGATTTGTTCATTCATGACACAAATCATTATAAAGTGCCTACTAAGTGTATGTCCCTGGCCATATACACGCTGTGGCCTGAGTGTAGGGAAATGGTGGTCCTCTCCCCGGCATTTGCAGGCTTGTGTTGGAGGCTTGCCTGCTTTCATCTTGCCGCACCTTTGGAAAGCCAAGCCCGGCTTTCCCAGCTTCCTCTGTTAGCAGCTGCTCTGCTAGACTCAGCTCCTCTGAGATGCTAACAGGAAAGAAGGAAAAGATCCCTTCTACCATAAGAGCTTAGAAACCTTCCGCTGAGGCTTAAGTCTGGCCTGAGCAAATATATTTGGTTACACTTTAGGGATTTGTTTTCACTCAACACTAAATTTTATTAAGATTCTAGTAATGAAGTTAGATGACGTAGAGTTAGGGAAATATGTACTGTATGACTTTTACAATACCTTGCCAGGAATCTGGTACGTGATTCTGAAGACTCCCAATCTAGATATGTTTTATTCCTTATGAAAATTTTTCTGACTACATGCTAAAATGCACTTATATTGTCATTTTATGTGTATGCATTAATTCAACTTTGCCAACTTTTTTTTTTGTTGAGATGGAGTGTTGCTCTTGATGCCCAGGCTAGAGTGCAATGGCGTGGTCTCAGTTCACTGCAACCTCTGCCTCCCAGGTTCAAGTGATTCTCTTGTCTCAGCCTCCTGAGTAGCTGGGATTATAGGCATGTGCTACCACGCCCAGCTAATTTTGTATTTTTAGCAGAGATGGGGTTTTACCATGTTGGTCAGGCTGGTCTTGAACTCCTGATCTCAGATGATCTGCCCACCTCAGCCTCCCAAAGTGTTGGGATTACAGGCGTGAGCCACTGCGCCTGGCAACTGTGCAAATTTTCAAAATCATCTGGTTAAATAAAATTCTCTGTCTTGGAAAATAGATTGCAGCATCACTGCCAGGATTTTTTCCCTTCCAGACTCATCCTGCCATCACAACCTCTTATCACCCTCACATGTCACTGAACTAAGAGGAAGAGGCCAGAAGAACTGCTGGACACCAATTCATAGTTTCCCCACTCTGCAATGTGGATTCTTCCTAATCCTCAAATCAAGGGAAAGGAAAGAACCATTCCAAAATGTCCTTCCAATTCACAGATGAACATCTCTAAGTCCACCTGGGAACCGTTTTAGACCCCAAGCATGTAGGGCAGGGAATATTTGCATGACTATATACACATGACAAAGGGAAACTTACCTGTTTATTCTAGTGGGCTTAACGAAAGTGCCACAGCTGCATGAATCGTGGTTATGTGGTTGCTTATTGGGGATGGGATTGAAAGTGTAACTTCAAGGGGGATCCCCAAGATGAGAGCCAAGAAGATGCTAAGCTATTTGTGCACAAGGTGCTTGTGAGATAGAGATCAAAGGGTAGACAGCCACTCTTCCCTGGTTGGTAAGCAGAGGTGCCCAAGAGGGCACTCTTTGGTGTTAACTTACTGCGTCTCACCTTGTTCCTTCCTAAACTCAACCCCCCCTGTCATTTCACTGTATCCCTCACACAGTCACTCTTGAAAGACCCTCCAAGCGCCGGTGGCCTTTGCTCCTAGCACACAGATCCTCACACTAGACTGCTTACCTAGCATCTAAATAATCCCAATTCTCTCTTTTTTTTAACTGCCCACCTGCAGCTGTCTTGATCGAGTTATATCCCAATTCTCATTTAGCTAAAACTTCATTATTACTAAATTTAATTATATTTGCAATATAAATTTATTTTAATTACAATAACCTAAAAGTAGTATAGTTACTATTATTACCTGTTTTAGTTTCCTGGAGCTACTATTGCCATGTATCACAAACTAGGTGGCTTAAAAATAATAGAAGTGTATTCTCCCACAGTTCTGCTAGCCGGCAGTCTGAAATCAAGGCGTGAGCAGTACTCTGCTTCCTCTGAAGCCTCTGAGGAAGACTCTTTCTTGCTGGTGGCGCCCACTAATCCTTGGCTTGTGGCCACATTACTGCAATATCTGCCTCTTTCCACACACAGCATTCTTCCTTGTGTGTCTCTGCACCTCTTACCTTACAGAGAATCTGGAATCTGTGTCATCTCCCTGTCCTTCCTGGTGTAAGAACACTAGTCATGGGTTTAGAGTCTACTGAACATCTAGGATCCTAAACTCATCACATCTGCAAAGATCTTATTCCAAACAAGGTAACATTCTGAGGTTTTAAGGTGGACATACATATTGGGGGTGAAAGGAGTGAGATCATATTCAACCCAATACATTATCCCCATTTGACAAATGAAGGGATTGAGACGTTAAATTTCAGCTTTTAACTCTTCAGACGTCTCTTTCCCGGCTCAAGGAGTCACCAGTAATTTATACCATCTACTGAGTGCCCATCACAGGACAGGCATTTGTAATTCATCATCTCTAGGCCTGACCATGCTCAGAGAGACGGGCATCAGTCTCTCAGCATTAAGGATAAAGAAACTGAAGCTCAGCAAAGTTGACAGATTTTCCCAACAAAGAATCACCCAATAACAGCACCGAGCTCATTTTGGCTGGCTCTGACACCTACCCCCTTTCCTTTAAACCACGCAACTTCTACCAAACCCTGCTTGTTTGCTTCACAATGTCTGGAACAACAGCCCTTCCTTCTGTTTCCTCAAGATCAAAACATTAAACATTTTCATTCAAATCTTCTGAGGCACTGTGGGAAGGGTGCCGGTTCAGGACACAGGTGTCATTGTGGAAACGCCCTCTTTCCTAAGCCTGAGCCTTAACAGACAGGCAAGTGAGTAAATGGACAGAAGAGGGCCTCAAAGGGAATGGGGAAATACGAATTGCTGCTAAGAGTGTACGGCAGAGCCCAGGCAGCCTTGCCTGCATATTTGGAGTCACCTTCTAGGGATCTTCCAAAAGTACTAATGCCCAGATCTCTCCTCCAGAGATTCTGAATTGGTCTGGGCTACAGATGGGGCACTGGGAGTTTTTTATTTTTCCTTTTTTTTTTTTTTAGAGATGGAGTCTCACTCTGTTGCCCAGGCTGGAGTGCAGTGGTGTGATCTCAGCTCACCGCAACCTCCGCCTTTTGGGTTCCAGTGATTCTCCTGCCTCAGCCTCCTGAGTAGCTGGGACTACAGGCAATCGCCACCACGCCTGGCTAATTTTTGTATTTTTTGGTAGAGACAGGGTTTCACCATATTGGCCAGGGTTGTCTCAAACTCCTGACCTCGTGATCTGCCAGTTTCGGCCAGCCAAGGCTGGTTAGAAGCCGCCTAGGTTCCTGCCATATGGGAATTCTCCTTTATTTTCCTTGCCTATGGCAGCAGCTGAGGTCTTCAGGTTGTTTTGAACATCATCTGAGTGAGCCTTTGTTTCTAGCTTCCTTCTAGAGCCACTGCCCAGCCATGCAAGTGCTTGGCAAATTTTGCACCTCGTCCCTTTGGGTGCAACAGCAGAGGTGACTGAGGTGGAGTGTGGGGCCAGGCTCTCGAATGGCTCGGACGCCTCTGCAAAGCTTTCTGGTGCGGCTGCCTCTTGTCTCCCTGTGACCTCAGTAGGTCACAAGAGCACAGACTACTGGAGCCAGGGAGGCAGCTTGTGGGGATTCTGCCAACAAATGGCCTTTGGACTTGAACTGCGGCCTGGGCTCTCCCTGGTCTCTAGCCTGCTGGCCTGCCCTGATAATTTGGGACTTGGCAGCCTCCGTCATCACGTGAACCAAGCCCTTAAAATAAATCTCTTTCTAGGTACGTACACATTCCATTGCTCCAGCTTCTCTGGAGATCCCTGGCGGCTACACTCCTCTTCCTCGGCTCCCCTGGCCTCACCTCCTTTCTGTGGGTTCGCCCACCCTCCGCTCTCCGCGTCGTTTGCCTGCAGTGTCTGTGACTCATAGGCCTATAATAATCCTTCCACTTCTGCTTGCCAAACTCTCTTCTCTTCATTCAAGAGTCTCCCCAAATCCTACATCATCCCATCAAGGAAACAACAGTCTCTCCTCCTTAGGATGAAGCCATTCAGTGGAGCAGATTTCAGAAAGAAAACTCACTGTGTGAGTGTTTCTTTGAAAGTTCATCTTGGAGACTGTTCCACGCAAGACAGTAACGGGACTTGGTGTTCCACAGGCTCTGTCTCCGAAGCCAGGCTGCAGGGGCTCTGTCTGCTCTGCACAGGTCTGCATTTGGTGCATAGTCCTCATGGGGCTAGTGATGCCTGCAAGATGGTGGTCTGGGGCATGGCTTCCAGAACAAGCTACTGAAGGCCACTGTCCTGATGGCTACAGATTTCACAACCAACCCTATGCCACCACCCTGTTCATATGACCTTGCATAAGGCATGGAGCTGTCAGGGAAATCCCTGGGCGTGCGTTCTTTCAGCTGTGGGGCCACCATGTCTTCATCCTGGGAGCAAAGTCAGCTATTACACAAGCTCAACAAGAGTGGTCAATACATGAGGCCCACAGCAAGGAGCACAATCACTGATCCTGTGGCCTATACACCCCACCTGTGTTCACCTGCAGGCATTCCACCTGCAGGCCATTAGGAGCTGGAATGAGAAGCATGGTCATGGCCAAACTATGGCAGTTACTGAAAAAGACCTGTCAGGGCCTCATCACTGCCCCCAAGCGGTGAAGGATGAAGGGTTGAGGAGGCACCATCCTCCTATCCTACCACACATGTAGGGGGGCCACTGTAGTGTTGCCGCAACCACCATGAAGCCACACTCTCAGTGGACATTGCAGAGCCATGGGACATGCTGCCTCGAAGCTCCATCTACAGGCTAGACCCCAGAGATCCCTGAATGTCTTAGCTGGGGTAGTATCCCAGGGACAAAGAAAGACCAAAGTGTATACTCACATCACAGGGGTCTTAGCTGGGGTAGTATCCCAGGGACAAAGAAAGACCAAAGTGTATACTCACATCACAGGGTACTAAAGCATCAAAGTGAAAGAACACAAGCTTTACAGGTACTCTAAATTCAGTTAGTCTCATTTACACAGCATTTACCATTTGGGTGACTCATTCAACCTTTCAGAGCTTGGCTTTCTCATATGTAGAGGAGGAGCACAATGCTTGTTTGTGTTAGTGCTACTGATGATGATGATGATAGACTGAGGACATTTAGCCCAGAGTCAGCATCCAATAAACACCCATTTCCTTCTCTGTTCTCTTGACTAAAAGGCTCTACCAATCCAATGACGGTTACTTATAGGTTATAATTTGCAAGCCTGGTAGATGTAGTGTGAAATCACAGTATAGAGGAGCTGATGGTGGCACTAGGATGCAGAAGGCATTCATGGAAGAGAAGATCCCTCACTGTCTGCATGACTTCACAGAATCAACAAGAGGATCCCAAATCCTATGTCCCAGCACCCATTCCCCAACTTGAAGTTCAAACAGAATAAAGATGAAGACAACGAAATACTGTAACTGTCACAGAGTCTAGAAAGCCTAGATTTTAGAACCCTCTAAGCCTGTGCAAAGCATTAACATTTCAACACATAACCCAATTTCGGGAGGCTTACGTAAAGGGAATGCAGTCCACTGTAGCACCCCCTTTCTTCCCACCAGTGTATGGGAATACCTCCCAAGCAGTTCTGGCCTCACAGAGCCCTAGAGACAAATTCACCTTGCTTTTTAAAATGTATTATTTATTGATTTATTGAGATGGAGTCTTGCTCTGTCACCCCGGCTGGAGTGCAGTGATGTGATCTCAGTTCACTGCAACTTCCACCTCCTGGGTTCAAGCAATTCTCATGCCTCAGCCTCCCAAGTAGCTGGGATTACAGGCAACTGCCATCACACCTGGCTAATTTTTGTATTTTTAGTAGAAACAGAGTTTTGCCATGTTGGCCAGGCTGGTTTCGAACTCCTGACCTCAGGTGATTCACTCTCCTTGGCCTCCCAAAGTGCTGGGATTACAGGTGTGAGCCACCGAGCCTGACCTCATTTTGCAATTAACAAAAGACAAAGAGGCCCTCCTTGATATTTGGAGATAGAGTATTTGAAATACATTTGATGAATTTCTATCTTCTTATATTGTAATAAGACTTGGCAGGACGATTTTACAATTGTAGTATACTTTTTATGGGGAGAAAAGGATATACATATATATATGCATGTGTTTTACATATACAAAATATGAAAAAAATGCAGTTGAACATATATATATTCTATTCTGATCTTCTCCTGCATTTTTTTTTTTTTGAGACAGAGTTTCGCTCTTGTTTCCCAGGCTGGAGTGCAATGGCGCGATCTCGGCTCACCGCAACCTCTGCCTCCTGGGTTCAGGCAATTCTCCTGCCTCAGCCTCCCGAGTAGCTGGGATTACAGGCACGCGCCACCGTGCCCAGCTAATTTTTTGTATCTTTAGTAGAGACGGGGTTTCACCATGTTGACCAGGATGGTCTCAATCTCCTGACCTCGCGATCCACCCGCCTCGGCCTCCCAAAGTGCTGGGATTACAGGCTTGAGCCACCGCGCCCGGCCTCTTCTCCTGCATTCTTACACTATCTCATGCTTGGGTCTGGGTCTGGGCCTGCCATTAGATGGGAAGATGAGAGCCCTCTGGTGGCTAAATAGACTCTTTTTTTTTAGAGATAATGAAACGTGTTTTGAAAATCCTATGCCTTGTTCCAGCAAGCAATTTGCTGCATAAATTTCATATTTTCTCCACTTGTGCCCCCTCATCCTTGAGTAAAGAGATAATGAGATATTATATTTTCAACCTCTTTGATGCTCATACTCTGCATTTAGGCAAATATTTACTCCACCTTCTGAAAAGATAAGACAGTGTTTTAGAAATTTGATTTTCAGATACTCATCTAAAAAATATTTACTGGTCATTTATAACAAGTAAGACATCATTCTAGGTACTGTAAGACCTATAAGAAAATGTACAATATAATATCTAATTGCAAGAAGCTGACAGCGGAGTACAAAAAAGAATAGCCTTGACTTAAAAAAAAGTTTTTTTTCTATAAACTTTAATCATTTTATCAAATACATAAAAGTTCTTATCAGAGATATTCTCTTAGGCCCCCTATCTTCCACCTGCTCGGGTGCCTCCAGCAGGAATCGGATTATCAAATTGAAATCCCACTCTCTAATCCAATGATTCACCAGGTCCTGCCAACTCTACTTCTCTTTATTTCTATTGATGCCAACTTAGATTAGGGCACCTTAATTCTGGGTCATTGCAATATCCTCTGTTTTTGTTTTTATTTGTGCTTTTGTTTTTATTTTGAGACAGGGTCTCTCTCTATCGCCCAGGCTGGGGTGCAGTGGCACAATCACAGCTCACTGCATCCTTGACCTCCCAGGCTCAAACAATCCTCCCGCCTCAGCCTCCTCAGTAGCTGGGACTATAGGCACGTGCACCATGCCTGGCTAATTTTTAAATTTTTGGTAGAGAGGGGTTCTCCATATGCTGCCCAGGCTTACAGTGTGCTTTTTAAAAATGTATTTTTAAGTTATTTTTAAGTGGTTAATACAAGTGCATAGGATAGATTTAAACATATACAATAGCAAATGTATACCAGGTAAGTCTCCCTCACACTCCTACACCCTAACTACCTGGTTCCCTTCTACAAAAAAAAGCTACAAGTCTCAACCCCTTGGATATACTTGTAGAGATATTCTGTTCACGTACAAGCATATACGTATTTTTCACAAATGATGGCATGCAGTTCAGTGCTTTTACATCTCTCAGTACTTGTTGGAGAAAATTCTAAATCAGTGTAAAGAGGCCTGCTTCATTCTTTTCAAGAGATGCATAGAATTCTATTATATGCATATTACCACAATTTATTTAATCAGTTATCTGTTGATAGAAATTCAGATGGTTTCCAATCTTTTGCTGTTACAAGTCAATGCTGCAATAAATGTCTTCATACAGACATCGTTTTTGCACATGTGCCAGAGTATACTTAGAAAAAATTCCTAGAAGTGAAATTATTGGATCAAAGGATATGTATATTTTTACTTTTGAGAGTTATCGCCAAATTATTCTTCATAGAGGTTGTACCAAAGTCTACGCTCGCTGACAAAATATGAGATTCTATTTCTCCAAAAATTCTCAACTATACAGTGAGTGAGAACTTGGTGTTTTATCTTTACCAATCTTATGGGTAGAAATGGTGTCCCAATGCAGTTTTAAATTACATTATTCTTAATTAGAGTGAAGTAAAGCATCTTATGTTTAAGATGTAGTTTAACATAAAGATACACGTTTATCTTTATCTTTACTAAACATGTATTTATTTATATGAGTCTCCCTATAGCTCTTGCTCATTTTTCTGCTTGAGCTTTGTTTTTTGTCTTATTGAACTGTAGGAGCTTGCAGCAGGCAGCTTCTAAGATGGCCCCAGGTGACTCCACCTCCTGGTATTCACACCCTGCTATAGTCCCCCTCCCACATTGCACCATGGTTTCTCTGTGTGACCAATAAAATATGGCAGAAGAGATGGTAAGTCATTCCCAAGATTAGCTCATAAAAGACATTCAGCCTGTCTTGGTGGCTTTCTGAAGATCACTTGCTCTGGGGTACACCGGTAGCCAGGTCTTGAGCAGCCCTAGATAAAGAAGACCACGTGGTGAGAAGCAGCGGCTCTTCTGAGAGTCTCACGAATGACCTTAGCCGGGGTCCTTCAGCCTTGAGCAAGCCTTAGAAGGACCACAGCCCTGACTGACGTCTCCACTGCAACATCCTGAAAGACCCTGAGCTGGAACCACCCAGTTAATCTGTTCCCAGATTCCTGACCCACAGGAACTTCGAGATTATAAATGTCTGCTGCCTTAAGATGCTGTTATGAGGCAATATTTTACATTTGATAAGATAGTGTAGATTGATAATAATATAGAGTTGAAAATAATAGAGTTTGATAATAATATAGAGCTTTTGGTATATTAAGAAAACCAGGTCAAGTGCAGTGATGTATGCCTGTAGTACTATCTACTTGGAAGGCTGAGGCAAGAGGATCACTTGAGCCTAGGAGGTTGAGTCCAGCCTGGGCAACATAGTGAGACTTCATCTCTAAAAATTAAATAAATATATATATATGGCCGGGCGCGGTGGCTCAAGCCTGTAATCCCAGCACTTTGGGAGGCCGAGGCAGGTGGATCACGAGGTCAAGAGATAGAGACCATCCTGGTCAACATGGTGAAACCCCATCTCTACTAAAAAAAATACAAAAAATTAGCTGGGCATGGTGGCACGTGCCTGTAATCCCAGCCACTCGGGAGGCTGACGCAGGAGAATTGCCTGAACCCAGGAGGCGGAGGTTGCGGTGAGCCGAGATCACTCCAGCCTGGGTAGCAAGAGCGAAACTCCGTCTCAAAAAAAAAAAAAAATATATATATATATATAATGGTAAATTTTTTCAAAAGAAAGAAAATTGGTTTCCTTCTCTTGAGCTTGAGTTTCTTGACTAGAATTTTTAAAACTTTTTCTTGCTTGTTGAATGTCTATTAGTCCTTGCCGTGATTTCTTTTCTTTCTTTTATCTTTATTTTCTTTCTTGCCATGCGGATTTTTTAAAAACTTACGTAGTGAAACTTATCATCTTAGGGGATTACTGTTATACTTAGAAATGATGAAAAAGAGATTATTAAAAAAATTCCAAATTTTGTTTTCCTCCATTTCTAATAATAAAGAGCTAGGTCACTTTGGTTAACCTTTCTGCTAAAATCCACTAAAACTAATGAATACGTTACTTTTTTTTTGAGACGAAGTCTCACCTTGTTGCTCAGACTGGAGCACAGTGGCCTGATTTCAGCTCACTGCAACCTCTGCCTCCAGGGTTCAAGTGATTCTCTTGCCTCAGTCTCCTGAGCAGCTGGGATTACAGGTATCTGCCACCATCTGGCTAATCTTCTGTATTTTTAGTAGAGATGGCATTTCAGCATGTTTGCCAGGCTGGTCTTGAACTCCTGACCTCAGATGATCACTCACCTCCACCTCCCAAAGTGCTGAGATTACAAGCATGAGCCACTGCCCGGCCACGAATATTTTCTAGTATCCTTTAAAGCATCAAGAAACTGACAAGATAATAAGGAATTACCAGACCAAGATTGTAAAAGAGTCCAAGATTGTATTAGTTTGTTTTCACGCTGCTGGTAAAGACATCCTTGAGACTGGGGAGAATAAAGGGTCTAATGGACTTAGAGTTCCATGTGGCTGGGGACGCCTCACAATCATAGTGTAAGGTGAACAGTGTGTCTCATGTGGCAGCAGACAAAAGAAGAGAGCTTATGCAGAAAAACTCCTTATATAATCATCACCTCTTGTGAGACTTATTCACTATCACGCGAACAGCATAGGAAAGACCTGATCCCGTGATTCGGTTACTTCCCTCTGGGTCCCTCCCATAACATGTGGGAATTCAAGATGAGATCTGGGTGGGGACAGAGCCAAACCATATCAGCAACCAAAGCCTTTTGTCCTAAGAACATATGGAGAACTGCGATCCAATTTTGAAGACCTCACAAAGTAAGAGGGGCAGAAGTCAAAAGCCCAGAGCCCACTCAAATTAGAATGTTAATATTAGACCCCCATGTACATTAAACTAGAATCCCAAAGGTAAAACCTTCAGAAATTAAAAAGTACCCATTCCTCTTCCTAAACAAAGTCCTAAGATAGCAGTGTCTTAGTGCTAAATAAAGGAAAAAAACAACAACAACAAAGTATAGCACAGAGAGACAAAAGATGGGAAACATAAGGGACTAGCTAAGAGAAATGAAAGACTGAAGGAGAAGGTCTACCATGTAGAGTCCAAAGAAAGTAATATTTTTAAAAACTGATTACTAGAAATAATTAGTGAATTTATCAGTGTCTGAAGATGCAAGGTTCATATACAAAAATCAGCTTCAATGCTTTATATTAGTAGTAAAGATAAAATAAAATGTTCAAAAATATAATTTACAATAGTATAAAAACACAAAATACTTGGGAATTTTTTAATTAAGGTAGGATTTGCATACAGTGAAATACACAGATCTCGTGTGCTCAGTCTGATGGTTTTTGATAAATGAATATACATGCGTATCCTATACCCTGTCCCTTTCTCCTCATCAAGATATAAAACACTTTCATCACTCCAGAAAGCTCCCAAGCCCCTTTCTAGTAAATCCCCGTTTCACCTTCAACTCCCGGCAACTTCTGTTCTGATTCCTTTCACCGTAGATTAATGTCATTATAGAACTTCATATAAGTTGTGTAGGGTGAACACTGTCTGGCTTCTTTACCTTGGAATAGGCATGATGTTTTAAAGACTCATTCATATCTTTGCTTCCATGTTTCATCATTTTTATTGCTTTTAGTGTGTATGGATATATCACAATCTGTTAATCCATTTTCTTCTTTTTAGACATTTGGGTCAATTTCAGTTCAAGCCATTAACAAAGCTTTTATGAATATTCCTATGCAAGGCCTTTAGTGGATATACGTTTTCTCTTCTCTTGAGGAAATATTTAGAAGTGAAACACATGCAACAAAAAAGCACTCACCATGGTGTGTTGGTATTAGCCAGAAAGATGGCTGCTTCGTTGGAACGAAAGCTCTTTTAAAGCAGAGACCAGGTTTGGTTTATTGTCGTATCTTCAATGTCTTGCACAATAAAGGGTACACAGGAGGCACTAACTATGCATTTCTTGAGTCAATATATTCAGGAGAAAATATTCTTTAAGAAAAAGACGTAAGTAGGCCGGGCGCACTGGCTCAAGCCTGTAATTCCAGCACTTTGGGAGGCCGAGGCGGGTGGATCACGAGGTCAAGAGATCGAGAACATCCTGGTCAACATGGTGAAACCCCGTCTCTACTAAAAAAAAAAAAAATACAAAGAATTAGCTGGTCGTGGTGGTGCATGCCTGTAATCCCAGCTACTCAGGAGGCTGAGGAAGGAGAATTGCCTGAACCCAGGAGGCGGAGGTTACGGTGAGCCGACATCGCGCCATTGCACTCCAGCCTGGGTGAAAAGAGCGACACTCCGTCTCAAAAAAAAAAAAAGAAAGAAAAGAAAACGACATAAGTAAACAATACATCTTCAATCCAGTTGTCCTTGGTTACACTAGGATACTGTTTCAAAGATATGAGCACCTTACTAAAAAGTTCTTTTGATGGTTTTGTAAAATAAGTCCCATGGAAATTTCTCAAGAAAAATCTGAAACTCTATTAAGAATATTAAAATGGCTAATATTTCTTGAACCCCAACAATAGCAAACAATTTAAGATAATCATTGCATTCATTCTTTGTACTCTTGAGTAGTCAATCCAAGGTAACAAGGCTTAAATAAGTTAAATCGCTTGCTTAATGTCACACTGCTGAAAGTTGGTATTCTTGCAATGGATAAAAAGAAAGAATTTTGACTTATTATTTTAATATGTGTTATTTTTGAAAGCAATTGTCAGTCCAAGTTTTTCCACACAAAGAATGAAAATGATAATAGCAATGCCAACATCACCAACATACTGTAAGGATCAGATGAAATTATATGTTTAAATTCATTCTGTAAACAGAAAAGCACAATGCCAGTTCTCATGATGATTGTCATCATCATCATCATTCGACCACTTACTAACTGTATGGCCTTAGGTAGGTCACTGTTAATTTGTAAAATGATGATGGTAACAACCCAGCACAGTAGTTGACCTTGAATAAATCCTCAATACAGAGCTGCCACTGCTATTGACCTTGGTCTGTTATATCATCGTTCTTGTTCATATTTTCACTCCAGGACAAGTTGTCACTCCCTGGTAGGTAGGGGAGCTCCTAACTAGGCTTCATCGTTCTCCTTCTCTCAGTCACACCAAAACTTTGACTAAAGCAACCAATTAGAATGCCCATTAAAGAAGTCCATGGTATCAATCACAGTGGGTTCCAGCAGCATAAGTCAAAGAAATTCCAAATATCAATGTTCTTTGTTCCCTCATATAACTTTAAGCCTTTTAGTTTAAAAGTTGCAGCTCTGATTTTCCAGTAATGTGAATAAAGTAAACAATGTGTATAAATTGATGATCAATCTTTCTAAACATCAAGTGCCTCACTCATAGCCATATTCATGTGTATATGAACCAGGAGATGTAATTTAAGCTTTGTTTAGCTCTGCTTTATTATCTTTTGAGCCTTGAAATTCTGAAATTGTACTTTCCTTCACTGGAGGCACCATGTCTACAAGGAATTTAACAGTTACAAGGTCTCACTAAATCACAGCCCAGGTTCACAAATGCAAACGGAAGGTATGCAGGCGTAGATTTTCTGGCCTCATATCAACCAAAAGGAGCTGATTGCCAGGTGGATTCTGCTGCATTGATTGGTGCATAATCCTTATTTCCAGTCAAGTCTGTGCCTCTGAAATAAAAGGCTCAAATGCCTTTTCACACTGCTATAAAGAACTACCTGAGACTGGGTAATTTATAAAGAGAAGAGGTTTAATTGACTCACAGTTCCACAGGCTTAACAGGAAGCATGGGTAGGAAGCCTCAGGAAACATATGATCATGGTGGAAGGCAAAGGGGAGGAAAGCACGTCTTACATTGTGGCAGGAGAGGCAGAGAGAGAGAGAGGGAAGGGGGAAGT